GCACTCTACCCAGAGCAGCAGAGTGAGACTCTGTCTCAGAAAAAAAAATAATGCAGAAGAGCCTGGTGTTTTGAACATTTGGTTTTCTGGTAGGTCAGCCTGTGCTCTCTCTCTCTCCTCTCTCTCTCTCTCTGCAGCTGGAATTAGAAAATTGCTTCTGTGTTCATTGTTTTGTTTTACCTCCGACAGTTACTTGCTGGACAGAAGAAGAGCTCCCCCTTCTGGACATTTGAATACTATCAAACATTCTTTGATGTGGACACGTACCAGGTCTGTAAACCAGTTTTCCCTGTGCTCTCACGTGTAATGGAGACTTGTTTCCTCTGTGTGAAAGCCTTTGTATACTAGAAATGTTCTTATACAAGTAAAGGGTTATTAGTGTTTGAAAATACTATCACAAAAGCTCTAATGACTGAATTTTAACTTTGTAGAAATCGGGTTTATTAAACTGTTGAAGAAAATCTCCAGTAGAATCACTGCTGTGTTGTTTTGCAGGTCTTTGACAGAATTAAAGGGTCACTTTTGCCTATACCTGGAAAAAACTTTGTGAGATTATATATCCGCAGCAATCCAGATCTCTATGGTATGTGTAGTGCTGATTTGATTATTTACCATATTCCATATGAACTTGGGTGAGTGTGAGTGTTGCCTAGAAAGCTGGAGGATTACACTGTTAGTGGGGTGTGCGACATTTTTTTTTCCCGAGTAGCTACCTTTGCAAAGAATTTTTGGGAAGGTGCAATTATGTGTTGTATTCACGCCATAATTACAGGTACTAGCATGTCCTTTACAAGTCTTCAAATGGCATTACAAACTTGAGACAAATTAAGTCACTTTGACTAAGAGGAGATTGTTAGTTCTAACTTCTCGAGGATTTGCTGGTGGTGGAGAAGGTTTCCTCTCACTTTTTTTGTTTATGTGCTGAGTTCCAGCTCTGCCTTCAGATGAGCTGCCCTGGATGTGGTCACCAGCCCTGGCAGTCTGAAGCCAAATTAGGCTGGGGATGGCTGTCATCCCTGGCATCTGTGCTGTTCGAGAAAAACTCAGAGGTCCATCCAGTGCTCCTGAAGAAAGGTCCCCCCCAGCAGTGGCCTGTGTTAAGGGGAAAGAGGGTGCTGTCAGTGTGCCAGGTGCTGTGTGTCCTTGGTCCTACAACAGCCCCTTGCAAATGGTCCCCCACTTTTCAAATGAGGAAGCTGATGTTCACTGAGGTTCCCTGATATGTATATATGCTTAACCCCAAATGATAAATAATAAAGCAATTATATATGTTGATTTGGAATATGGGCTTTGTGGAATTCCTAGAATTCCAGGGAGCCTGACGTGAGACCTTTGCATTGGCCTGTGCCTCTCACCTGAATGTTGTCAAGGTAGTTCCTCTTTCTAGCCATCTCACTCATTCAGTCTTCTACCCTGAGCACTTGTTGAGGGACAGGCTCTGTGTCTCAGTAATCCATGCCGCGAGTGCCTGGCAGAGGGCTTCGCATAGATAGGCCCTGTGCTAGAGGCTGAGGATTTAAAGATAAGGCCGTAGTACCAGTACCTAGCCCTAAGGAGTTAGAAGAAGAACTTAACATCGGTTGAGTACCTTGTAACTGCCAAGCATGGAGACCAATACTGCTTTACTATTTTACTAGTATTATTCCCATCCTGTAAGGTGCTTTTATCTTACAAAACAGAAAACCGAGGCTTGCGGAGGCTAACTTGCCCGTAGTCACAGAGTTAGCAATAATGACAATAATGACAATCACATATAGTGCTTATTCTGTGCCAGACACTCTTATTAGGGCACAACCTATATTAGCTCATTTAATCCTAGTGACAACCCCAACTTTAGGAGGCAGAGACTATTATTATCCCAGTTTTATAGATGAAGACTCTGACTCACACAGAGATCCAGTAACTTGCCTAAGATTATACCGCTGTTTTAATAAGTGCCAAGCTCAGTTTTCAAATCCGCAGTGCAGCTTATAATCCATATTCTTCATCCCTGTTCTACCCTGCCTCTCATGACAAAGTCAGGGTTTGAACCAAAGGCTTGCTTCTTTTCCGTGCCACAAGTAGCCTCATTAGCTCATAGTCTTGGTGGACAGAAGGAAGTACAATATGGGTGCAGTGTTGCTTAGTAGAGAGGGACAGCCTTGCAGGACAGGTTGGAGGAAGGTGGTTAGAAAAGTGTAAGGAAGAGATTCATGACTCTGAGTACACTTCAACTACAATTTACACAACAAAATAAACCAAAGGCCAAGGGAAATATTCACAGTTTACATAACCAACAAAAGATGAGAAGCCAGCATGTATTTAGAGCTCCTACAAATTATAAAAATAGAACAAGCAACTCTGGGGAGAAATGGACAATTTACGGAAGAGGAAACCCAAATGGCCTGTAAATACATGAAAAGATGTTTAGTCCCACCTGTAATCAGGGAAACTAAACAAGGGATTTATTTGTGCCTAATACATCATACAAGGTGTCTTGTCTTCACTCATTCACTCGGTTAATTTAACAAATCTAGAGCACTTACTGTTCTAGGTCCTGGAGATACAACCATGAGAACAGACACAGACTTCTGCCCTTAGGCAGTTTGTCATCTGTTGAGCTTAACAATAAGCAAAGAAAAGTGGAGTTTTCTAGAAACAAAGGCTAAGGTGAAAATGTAAAAAGCGAATAGGAAGGATGGAAAATGTTTGTGTAGGTGAATTCAACATTTTAAAAAGATGAATTTTAAGATCTTTAATTTTAAAGATCTGGGCTCGGCGCCTATAGCTCAACCGGCTAAGGCGCCAGCCACGTACACCTAAGGTGGCAGGTTCGAATCCC